ACTTTCCTAGTTCACGTTCGCGTATTTTTTGCTTTACCGGATCCGCCACCGGATCCGGCGCCGACTCACCGGATCCGGTAGGTCCAAAAACACACCGGATCCGCCGGATTACCGGATCCGCCGGACCGGATTGCAATCCCTACATAGGACATTCACTGCTGAACATAGGCCTCCCCCAATGATTTCCACGACGCTTAGTTGGTAGTGTAGAACTGACCGGTCGGTAGGGCAGCAAGGTTCTGGAGTGGAAGCCACGTACCAGAAAACGTAGCGTGAGACGTCTACCCAGAAGGTGGACATAAAGGTAGCAGGAAGGCGCTGAATGTATGAACAGCATAATATTTTTTGGACTACGATAGCCGAACGGTGAATGGGTCGGACTGGCCGACTCGAGATCCGAGGAACGCGGGTTCGAATCCCACCGCCGCTCGACTATTGTGGTGAGCCCACTCGTAACACAAGCTAATAGCTTAACATGACANAATTTATGATTTCATGGTTTTCTTTTCATTTGATTTATCAAGTTTGTTAGAGAGATTTCATCCTTATACTTAACCCTAACGATCGATGTAATAAAAATACAGGGTGTAATTTTTAACAGATTTTAGTACGTTCGATTCCCGGGTGTGGCAAAGAAATTTTTGGAAATCTTTGAATGCAGTTCTATTTCTTATCAAAAATAAAGGAATGTTTTCTTTGAGACAAATTTTCTATCTACAATATTAAGAGGACTTTCCCTCCAGGTGGCATTACAAAATTCCACCCTGTATATAATGTAGGTATAATACGAGTATTAACTATCATGCTCTTACCCCACCAGAAGGCGCTCCAGCTCCTCTGAAGACCGGGTGGTAGTACTTTGGTGCCTTGAAAGAAACAAATAAATAAAAAAGACTAAGTCTGGGACATACTACAAACAAAAATATTTCCACTTTTGTAGACCGACGATCTGGTAAAGGCCACGGGAAGGACATGGATGCGAGCAGGACAGAACCAGTCGTTGTGGAAAAATTTGAGGAGGCTTTTGCCCAGCAGTGGACGTCTTTAGCTGAAACGAACGAACGAACACGATAATACACACAGGAAGTCGCAGGCGGCCGCTAGTATAAGAATAAAGCTGTTTATTTCTCAGTGCTTTCCATGGTACCTAAACTAAGGTGGATACCTAATGGTATAACATGCGTTCCTTCTTTCTTTGTTATCACATTACGTAGCTTCATATTTTGTAGCATAGTCATCATTGCAGTTGACAGTACATCAGATACTAAATTATCTTATCACAATAACACAAAATGCCACATTATTTAGATTGATATCCTACTAATATTATAAACGCGAAAGTTTGTGTGGATGTTTGTTACTCTTTCACGCAAAAACTACTGAACGGATTTTGATAAAACTGTACAGTATTATTGTTTATAACCCAGAATAACATATAGGCTATAATTTATGACGATCTGTGCACAAAAGATCCCAATGGGTCGACGTGCACTGCGCCCATGCGCGGCCCTAAATAAGTGACAAATTAAATTTCACGCGGGTGAATCCGCGGACAAAAGCTAGTACCGACATAATGTTACCTACAATATTTATTTATATTTAATTGTTTTTGTGTATTCGTTCATTCGTTTCAGCCAAATGACGTCCACTGCTGGACAAAGGCCTCCCCCAAGGATTTCCATAACGACCGGTTCGCTGCATCCAGGTACTTCCCAATTGATAATTTTGTATAGTTAATTACCTGTAAGCCGTACTGTTTCAGTCCAGTGGGGTAATCATAATCGTCATCTTCACCAAAAGTATTTAAAGGTCCCATGCCCTGAAAATAAACAAATACAACACAATAGTAGATTGCAGTTTATTACATTCAGCTGCTTTACTAGAGGTCGCGAGTTTGATCCTTGCACAATACAAAGATTTATGTAATCATCATCATCATCATTGCGACCATAGGACTAGGGATTGCAATCCGGTATCATTTTCAATCCGGCTGGATTTCACCGGATTGNTTCTTCCAGGGGGGGTGCGAATTTACCAACACTCCAAATATTTAGCAAACTGGGTGAGTGTATAAAAGATAGTACAGAAATTGGAGTTTCGGAAGAACAATGATTTGTTCGAAGTTAGCAATCTGACCCATTTCTTTGCGATCCACAAAATTGTCTGTGAACTAGTTTTTTGGGACCACCCTTGATGCAAGTATCTATAGTTGACAGCACATTGAAATACCTACACACTTGTTTGCAAAATAAAATTAGATCTAAATACCTATGACGTCATGTTATAAAACTAAAGCATCATGTCACATCATGTGTAGTTGTAATTTATGTAATGTTGATACTGAATAATTATTTTACTTTATTTCTTTAAAACATTGTACAATACTATACTAATCATTATTAAGTATTACCTTGAAATATGGTCCAGATCTTGGTGGCATTCCTCCCAGACCGGCAGACATCCCCTAATTATTAAAATTGTTATTAATTTTGGACATTTCCACAGAAAGTTTAAAAAATATATATAATGCAGGTATAATACGAGTATTAACTATCATGCTCTTACCCCACCAGAAGGCGCTCCAGCTCCTCTGAAGACCGGGTGGTAGTACTTTGGTGCCTTGAAAGAAACAAATAAATAAAAGACTAAAGCCCTTACTAATAAAACTTACACGCTCGTTGATCAGTGTTTTAAAGTGACGTTTAGTATGGAAATGTCATTTTAAAACAATGATCAACAACTGTGTAACTTTTTATTAGTAAGGGGGTAAGTCTGGGACATACTACAAACAAAAATATTTCCACTTTTCCGCGGCAAGGACATGGATGCGGGCGGTCGTTCCGGACCGGTCGTTGTGGAAATTATTGAGGAGGCCTTTGCCCAGCAGTGGACGTCTATAGCTGAAACGAACGAACGAACACGATAATACACACAGGAAGTCGAAGGCGGCTTCTAGTATAAGAATAAAGCTGTTTATTTCTCAGTGCTTTCCATGGTAAACTAAGTTGGATACCTAAAGCCATGTATTCATTAGGCAACATTTGTTGATAAACTGTTTAGGACTAGTGTGAAACAAGGTTACCATAAACACAGGTTTCTGAAACATGGCCGTTCACACTTACTCTCCACTCATAGCGGGGTAGCACGGCAACATGTATCATAAACAATGTTTCATCATCTATGTTTATGGACTGTTTATAAACTGTTTACAGAGATGATGAAACATTATGAAACATTGTTTATGAACAGTTTATGAACAGTGTTTATCAACAAATGTTGCCTAATGAATACGTCGTTTTATGGTATAACATGCGTTCCTTCTTTCTTTGTTATCACATTACGTAGCTTCATATTTTGTAGCATAGTCATCATTGCAGTTGACAGTACATCAGATACTAAATTATCTTATCACATTAACACAAAATGCCACATTATTTAGATTGATGTACCGACGTATGTACCGACATTAAATAATTAATATTTACCTATTTGTTTATGTGTATTCGTTCATTCGTTTCAGCCAAAATGACGTCCACTGCTGGACAAAGGCCTCACCCAAGGATTTCCATAGCGACCGCTGCGCTGCCTGCATCCAGGTACTTCCCAATTAATAATTTTGTATAGTTAATTACCTGTAAGCCGTACTGTTTCAGTCCAGTGGGGTAATCATCATCGTCATCTTCACCAAAAGTATTTAAAGGTCCCATGCCCTGAAAATAAATAAATACAACTCAATAGGTGATTGCAGGTTATTGGATTCTGGTACTATACCAAAGGTCGCACGTTTGATCCCAGCACAATACAAAGATTTATGTGAACATTTATCATCATTATCATCATTATCATCATTTCAGCAACAGGACGTCCACTGCTGAACATAGGCCTCCCCCAATGATTATCACATCGCCTGGTTGGTAGTGTAGTTCTGGAGTGGAAGCCACGTACCAGAAAACGCAGCGTGGGACGTCCACCCACAAGGTGGACCTCATAAAGGTAGCAGGAAGGCGCTGAATGCATGAACAGTAAATATTTTTTGGACTACGATAGCCGAACGGTGAATGGGTCGGACTGGCCGACTCGAGATCCGAGGAACGCGGGTTCGAATCCCACCGCCGCTCGACTATTGTGGTGAGCCCACTCGTAACACAAGCTAATAGCTTAACATGACAGGGCTAACAGGACTATTAGTAATTTGTGCAATATAAATTGCTAATAATCTTTAGAAAAAATTACAGGAAAACTATTTGTATGCGTTGTTACTTAAATGATTATTCTCTACATTCCTGGTATAAATAATGCTAAATCAATGCTCATAACTCTAAAATTTGTCCCTATCAAGATTCGAACCCGAAATGCCGTTGTAATCTGATATTACAATCACAAACGGTACTCGTGTCAAGAGGCAAGTCAAAAGCAGGACATAAAGTTATCATTTTTGATAAAACTAATACTATCATAAAATACGTCAACCCACACGGTGACTATGTATAAATTACATAATTAATTTACATTAGATATTTACCCTTAATAACAATGATTGTGCAAGTTCTTGCATCACTTTAACTTTAACCGGTCTTTTTGTGTCGAATTTGTTAAATTTTTGACGTTTATAATAGTTGAAGTAGTCGAAAAACAAAGAAAATCTATTGTATTTTTACAGAGTGAGGGTTTTCCATGGTAATTTTTTATGACAAAATTACGTAACTTACAATAATGTACNTGTAGTGTACTACATGTTATTTTTATTCGAACGAATTAGTTGTAGATCTCAATACTCAATGAAGCTTAAACCTCTTATACGAGTATCTATGCAATAATTTCGTATAAATATTAATAAGATTATTTACACGCGTACTAGCAATAAAATACCTAATAGATAACAACTTTCTTCACGCTAAATGTTTTATAAAAACAAATACCGACACTGTACTTTAACCGGTTAATTTATCACAGATAACGTTATCAAGCGTTAAAATGTTGACACTGTAGAGAGCCGTCCAGTTTGCGTCGAGGCACAGAGAGGAACGCACGTCAAAATGCCGAGAAAAGTCTACGTTGTCGGAGTGGGCATGACGAAGTTCGTCAAGCCTGGCACAGCTGGAGACTACCCTGACTACGCGAAAATAGCCGTTGTAGACGCCCTAGCTGATGCCAAGATCAAATACGATGATATCCAGCAAGCCGTCTGTGGATACGTCTTCGGGGACTCCACATGTGGACAACGTGTCTTATACCAAATCGGCATGACCGGGATCCCAATCTACAACGTCAACAACAACTGCTCCACCGGATCCAACGCTTTGTTCCTCGCCAAGCAGCTCATAGAAGGAGGCATCATCGACGTCGCCTTAGCCCTCGGCTTCGAAAAAATGAGCCCCGGTGCTTTAGGAAACGGAGCGTTCACAGACAGAACCAATCCTTTGGGAAAACACGTCGAAAAGATGGGAGAAATGACCAAAGTCCTACCTGGACCTTNCGGACCATTAACTCCGCAGTATTTCGGTAACGCCGGTCTTGAACATATGCAGAAGTACGGAACAACTGAAGTTCATTTGGCTAAGATTGCAGCGAAAAACCACCGTCATGGAGTGAAGAATCCTAGAGCTCAAAGTAAGAGGGAGTATACTGTTGAAGAGGTTCTGAATTCAAGGAGGATTTACGGTCCGTTGACCAAACTAGAGTGCTGTCCTACTAGTGACGGTGCCGGAGCAGCTGTCCTGATGTCTGAAGAAGCAGTCATCAAGTACGGTTTACAGGACAAAGCTGTGGAAATCATAGGCCAAGAAATGGCCACTGATACTGCTGCTTTATTCGCTGAAAAGAGTCTGATGAAAGTTGCGGGGACAGACATGACTGCTTTGGCTGCGAAGCGTATTTATGAGAAGACTGGTATTTCTCCGAAGCAGGTGGATGTGGTGGAATTACATGACTGTTTTGCTGCAAACGAAATGATCACTTACGAAGGTTTGCAGCTGTGTGGGGTCGGTGAAGCTGGGAAGTTCATTGATGCTGGTGACAACACGTATGGGGGTCAAGTGGTGGTCAATCCCAGTGGGGGGTTGATAGCTAAGGGGCATCCTTTGGGGGCTACCGGTCTTGCTCAATGTGCTGAGCTGGTGTGGCAACTTCGGGGTGAAGCTGGTGATAGACAGGTTAGTTAAATTATTTCTATTCTTTTTATTATTTTATGACCGTCTAATCTGGTGGATCTTGAATTGTAGATTAATTAGATTATAGGATAGGACTTAAAAGATTATAAGGGCATTTCTACGGAGACGACCGATCGACCTACTGGGGCGAAAAAAGTACCTTTAAAATTGAAGTACGGACTTGAAAAAAATCTCACGTATTTATAGGACTCTTGACTTGATGGAGAGCATATTTAGAAGACCGTCAGGTTTTACATCTCGCCTTGAAAAAATCCGAAAGTTCAAAAACGGGCGAAATTTGGCCTAAAATGGAGTGTCCGGTTTCCAGAATTTACTCGTTTTTGTTTCATAACTTTTGAAATAATAACTTCCCCATTATGAAACCCACATTCACAGAACAAGGGATAGTTAATAAAGCTATATAAATTAGTTTCTTTATTGCAAGTCCTTGGGTTTTAATACAGTAACACATTTAAATTTTGTCCGACGTGTGTGCCTCAATTCCGTGATTTTTACTTTTGTGCTCCTATATCACTAACAACGCACAATACGAACACCCACGCCTGATTCCCATAAACTAGCAGTTGCACTGTCGGGCGTTTATTATTGTCTGACATCGCTGATTTATCCTTATGATATTATAGTAGTTTTAAGTAATTATATAGGTAGCTATTTAAAAACTTGTAATTTCTTTAATAAGGGCCGTTCCTACGAGTTGCGTAAAACTGAATTTGAATCCAAAATCTTAGATTAATTGTCATATGAACTAAAATCTAGCTAAAAGTGTAGTTTAAGACAGTTTTTCAAATTTAATTATTAAGTTATATAATAATTACTAAAAGTAATTCATTCTCTACTTTATTATTAAATAAAAAATGATAAATAAGGCTGTGTTTCTTTCTCTACTAAGCCAACACTTAAGTTTTTTGTACAGATCCGCATCCGCATCCGCATCCGCATCCGCGGATGTGAGCCTCTTAAAATCCGCATCCGCATCCGCATCCGCGGATGTGGAAAAAAGTGGATCCGCAACATCCCTAAAGAATTAGGCTCATAGTAAGCGACCAAGTTTCACATCCATACACCATCACTGGCAACACACACTGGTAGAAGACTTTTGTCTTAAGACGCTGCGGTATTTCAGACGTAATAGCGAAGCTTCCCGATCGATGCTTAGCTGAGTTGAATTCAGCGATAGACCTCTTTCTCAAAGTTGGACCTAACTATCTGGACTCTTGTCCCAGGTATACACAATTGTCAACAACTTCAAGTGTAGTCTCCAACCTTCAGAGGAGTGGGTGCAACACGGACATTTGACAATATGATTTTTGTCTTGTCCATGTTCATTTTGAGACCCACTTGTTGAAAGGCTCTACGGAGGCCATGACTCCGATATCATCCCCGATATCGCGACTCCTTGGTCTTCTGTATAATCTGCCGTAGCGTACCTGTGTGTGTACCATAATACTAAAGCCTTTTCGGAAACAAGCTTGTTCGGAAGGCTGGAAATCGTCGAGTCTGCGAGCGAGATGATTCGTAAGGACTCTCAAAAACAGCTTGTAAACACGCCACATAAGTGAGATGAGTCTATAATGCTATCACCACACTTCTGTGCCATGCTGGAGGTTCAATTCCGTCATTTTCTTCGAGAATGACGGAATTGAACTGCTTGTGTAGAGCCTTTAGTACCGGCGAAGATCAGCTATAATGCCGTAACACCTGGTGCCTTGTTGTATTTTAGCTATTTGAGTGCCATTTTAATCGTGTACAAACTGACGTCCGATATAATATCTTCGGTATAGTGTAAGGTCAATCTAGCTTTTGGGTTTTGCAATATTTGTTTTATGTTTAAGGTTAAGAATAAATAAAGAAAGAGACCCTGTGTTATGTATTTATTTGTTTTATTTAAATAAAATTAAAATAATATATATAAATTAAAAATTTATTATAGTTCCTTATTAAAATTTAACATATTGATTAGGATTTTTGTTTTATTCCATTGGTATTTCAGACACATAAACCTAAAATGAACCATCTAACTAATAGACCAGCAATCAGATATCAAAACGTTTTAAGTATTTATTATATTAATTATTGAAATATATTAGGTATTTCTTCATAATGTCATCAATTCTAAGTTTGCGGAGCGATTTTTATATTTGGAGATTCATTTCTCAATTCCGTGATTCATTTTCTCAATTCGGTGCTCTCTCAATTCGATGCTTAACATTTCTCATAAACCACTTCACAATATTTAGTGACAATGCTATTTTTACATTCAGAATGGAGTAACATTTATTTTTTTGTATTGAAACTACTTAAAAAACTAAATATAAATTTTAGCACCGAATTGAGAAAAAATACACCGTACAGTAGAAATGCCCATAATTGGTATCTATAGTAAAGAATTTTTATCGGTTATTCACATCGCAATTACAAAAAAGTTTGAAACTGCTCAAGTTATATTTCTTCGTGTGTTTTTATATTTTTATTTTATTAACAACAAAGACAAACTGATAAAATTAATGTGAATACTGTGTATATTTGGACTAAATGGCCTGATAATAATTTATTATGAGTATTTACTCGTGTTGTTGATTTGCAATATTCCTATTTTTTTTTATCCACAATGAGGAAGCTCTTTCTTTTAATATACTTAGGTTCTGCAATTTTCTTTTCTCAAGGCATTTAAATGGCGTATTATATTTGTTTGATAAAATATTTAGATATCATGAAGTTTTTTATAACGTAACTTATGAGATAAGTTATCTTTATAAGTAGGTAGGTGGCAAGAGATAAAAATTTTGATGATCAACATTATTTTGTTTGATTATTTTTATCATTGTATGATGAATAGAATAGAATAGTATACCTTTATTCAGCCATGCTGAAAAGGCGCCCGCTCAGCGAAAATCGTGACATGACACAAGTCGTCAAGTCACGAAGCTAGTTTTCAGCGTGAGTGATGGATACTTATCTATTTTGTTGATACACAGCGGGTGGTATAATTGTATAGTCATCATTCTGCCAAAAATGTAGATAACACGTTTCTACATGTACGGTCAACAGCACATCAACGTAAACACTGTGGTATCTTACGTAGTTGCGATAGGGGCGACTATGCAACGAAAATGTATAGCTTGATGTGCTGTTGACTGTACCATTGGTCACAATGTTAAATATACATTTCCGTTTTTGCTCTCGCTCTCATCAAAAATGGTGATTCTTTGCGATAGAACGAGACGACATGACCGGCAATGGGTAGTTAACACTGTTGCCGATAGTACGTATTGGTTACCACTATGAATAAGCACATAGATTCCAATTTCAGCTCCTGATACTAAATCACTTAGAAACTAATATTGTTAAAACTCTGATCCCTAAAGTCCTGGAACTAAAAAAAAATTCTATCAGACTGGATACATGCGCAAAGTATAAGTTTTGAAAGCAAAAGCTTCAACCATACAAACGCGTGCAGTGGGTCTAGACAAAGTGCAAATTATAATCGCAAACCAGTCGCAAAGTGGTCGAAAAGCCCCTTTTTTGTATGGAGTTTTGACGGATTCGATTTTCGATTCGATCAAAAAGTGCGTTTTGTCTAGGGGGGCAGATCGCCATCACCGGTGCGATCACGGCGCGATCATAGACCAGTGACAGGTCGCGCGGACTGTCATGGGTCGCGCGACCTGTCATTGGCGATCAGCCTGTGGTAAATCAAGAGAGTACTCCTGCAGTGGATACTAAATTACCTGATGATGTTGATGATGATAATAGTGATGATGATGATTGTTTGTTTCAGGTGAAAGATGCCCGCATCGCTCTCCAACACAACCTTGGTCTAGGTGGCGCTGTAGTCATCACCATGTACAAGAAAGGATTTTCAAACATTCAACCCAGAAAAGTTACGGAAAAATCGAAATTGTAAAAGTGTCAACTACTTTTACTACCTTAAAACTCGACCTTATAATAACACTAGCTTTCCGCCCGCGGCTTCGCCCGCGTGGAATTTTGTCTGTCACAGAAAAACTTTATCGCGCGCGTCCCTGTTTCAAAAACCGGGATAAAAACTATCCTATGTTCTTTCCCGGGACTCAAACTATCTCTATGCCAAATTTAATCAAAATCGGTTGCGAGGTTTAAGCGGGAAAGCGTAACAGACAGACAGACAGACAGAGTTACTTTCGCATTTATAATATTAGTTGGGATAACAATAGGTACTTGGATTTAATACGATTTAAATTCAACCAAAACTTAAATGTAATTATAAGCTACTCAATTGTAAACAACATATAAAATTAGGTTAAAAAAGTTTCCTACGTTTTAATAATCGGAAATTTCTGTACAAAGAGTATTTGATTAAGACTGTTTAATAAATAAATTCCTACATAAAAAGGCCATTTTAATGTTACCCTCCGTTGTGACACATCTCAAACAAACGTGTAACAAAATACATATAACTGACTTCATAAAACTCTTATGAAGACTATTCCCACCTCGCGTTACCACCGCTGCAACTCCTGTGTATCCAGGATCTACAGCTTGACCGCCAATAAAAACCCAACCAGTGAAGGTCAAGTTTGTCCCGGGGAATGTTAAACTGTCATTGGACCCGCAACGAAATTAATAAGAAAAACATGGGTCATTCGTCAAAAGACATCCACTGCTGGACAAAAACCTCCCCTTTGGATTTCCACAATGACCGGTCCTGAACTGCCCACATCTAGGTGCTTCCCGCTATCCTCGTTAGTTCGTCGGTCCACCGAGTGGTGGCTATATTAATTTATCAGGACATCAAATTACTCGAAAACATAATAAATTACAACAATTTCTATAAAACGTAATGGCAGATATCAGTTAAACACCCAATTAATTCAGCATAAAATTTTTGGAGTCGTCAACTAAGGTTAAGGTTAAAATTAACCTAGTACATAATTATTTACACACGAAAACATAGCTGACATTATTTTAGTGCAAATTATAAATATTTATTAATTTCTTTCATCGCGTCGTCGGCCATTTTGCCATTGTTTTGTAGACAAAAAACGCTTTGAAGTTGTAGGTAAAAAATATTGACCAGAAAAAAATATGCAAGTAAATACATAGTTTTTTATCTTATTTGTTCTTGGTATAAGCTACTCAAATATCTTCACTTTTAGCATTTCTTACGAGTGTAATCAAATTTGCCTTGGCTGCTAAGCGCATTTATGGTATAATTAATAAGATTAATGTTTACTGTTACATTGTTATCGAGCCACGAACGAAATAAAATTATACGTCGTCCATTATTATTATTATTGTTATCGTAAACACCTTATTTGCCACTTCGTATCGGTTGCTTCAAGATAGCAAACGTGTGAACATGAAAAACAAAGTGTACATTGTCGGCGTTGGTGTTAGTAAATTCACTAAACCTAGCAGTACTTCGTACTTGGTGTATTCAAAGGAAACTATTGTGGACGCTCTTGCAGATGCGAGGATCACTTACGAAGACCTAGAGCAAGTATTCGTTGGGTATACCTCAAGCCCATGCAGTGCCGATTCCTGTTATGGCCAGAGGATATGCTATGAAATCGGTATGACAGCCATTCCCATCCACAACGTAAATAATAATGGTGCTACAGGAGCAACGGCTATATTCTTAGCTTCCCAACTAATACAAGGAGGGATTATAGATGTAGCATTGGCGCTAGGATTTGAGATGATGACGCCTGGAGCCCTCAAGTCTAAATACACTGATAGAAGTCTGCCAGGAATATTGCAAGCCCAAAAAATGATGGAGCTCACTGAACTATCCGACGCTCCAGTGCCTGTCCAATTCTTCGCAAATGCAGGTATCGAGCATATGCAAAAGTACGGCACTACTGAAGTACATCTGGCGAAAATCGCAGCGAAAAATTATAAGCATGCATCAAGAAACCCTAGAGCTATCAGTGACAAGGAGTATACTGTTCAAGAAATACTGGAATCCAAGAAAATACACGGCCCAGTGACATTACTGCAATGCTGCAGGAATAGTGACGGAGCGGGCGCGGTGGTTATCATGTCAGAAAACGCTGTCAATAAATATAATCTTTGGGATAAGGCAGTGGAAATTGTTGGTATGGAGCTTGCTACTGATACGGCTGATGTCTTCACTGATAACAGCCTGATGAAGGTAGCTGGGTATGGAATGACTTGTCTAGCTGCTCAACGCTTGTATCAGAAGACAGGAGTATCTCCAAATGACATTGATGTAGTGGAACTCCACGATTGCTTTTCTCCAAACGAGCTGATAACTTATGAAGGTCTTCAGCTGTGTAAGGAGGGGGAAGCTGGGAAGTTTATTGATGCTGGGGATAATACTTATGGGGGGAAAGTGGTGGTGAATCCCAGCGGTGGACTGATTGGGAAGGGGCACCCAATTGCAGCGTCTGGTGTGGCCCAGTGTGCTGAGCTGGTGTGGCAATTGAGAGGAGATGCTGGAGCAAGACAGGTTAGTATTGTAGAAGATTTATTAAACCTTAGCGTTTAGAGTTGCTTCTCAAACTAAATTTTAAATAAACTTGAAGAAATCAATCCCGGCAAGTGTAAGGTTGTGGGTTCGATTCCCGCTTTAGGCAGTTCGATTTTTTCAAGTTGTTTATCTAAAATAAAGATTATAGAATTTTTATTTATTATTTATTAACATTGCATTATGCTACCTTAGTTTGGTCATAACGTCATCTTGCAACTGAAAACTCATAACACAATAATAAAATACCATAAACGTTATGTTAAAAGTAACGAAAATGTTATGTTAATAAAAAGAAAATATTTTTATGTCAAACAAAATCAGGTAAAACTCCAGCATGATTACATTTTCAAATCGCCTTAATTATTTTCTTATGTTTGTTACATCTTATGATCATGATTTTTTCCAAACCATTTTTATGGAAATCTGTGGTTTCCCTTTATATTTCTTAACATGTTTAAGACAACACAACTGGTCATAACATGTGGCTATACTTAACATGTTCAAATCCAGGAAAAGCCAAGAAAAGTACCTAATTATTTTGGTGGCTTCCAGCAACATTCCCTCATATGTAAAGGTGCAACTGACTAGAGATAGCGAACATGCAAAGTTTAAGTAATAACAAGGTGCTGCAACACATTCTCATAAAATGTCATGCTTAAAACAGCATGCTCAAAGCACTCGAAATGAGCATGCTAATTAGCAATATGTTTCGACAAATAAGTAGTAGCATTGAATTTGGCTACCAACACTACTAAGTAGCAATTTCTCAATAGTGGCATGCTCTCGTGCTAGTAATGAGCACTTATATGGATTCGTTACTGCACAAAAGGTTTCTGATAAATCTGATAAGGTAAGTAACCTTTGCTTACTTTTATGGGCTGTCCAAGCGCGAATTTATCATTAGACTTTGTATATAAAGTTAACCACAGCCTTTTCCGATTGATATGATAATAGCTACTTTCAGGAAATTAGCAAAGTAGCAAATAAAAAAGAGTGACAGAATTTTAACACAATACCGGGCATTGGCTAAAGTTATTCTAGTTCAATCAAACCTGGCAAAGCAGCGTAAGCCAAATAAAACTAGAATGCTTACCGCCTTGCGAATATTGTTCGCTTGTATGCTCAAATCTAGTTGCACCTTTACATGTTACGACGAAAAAACACGCATTTGTCCTTTTCATTTGTAGGGAAAAACGCTTCTAACGACATGGCACATATTTTTCTTGTTTATGCGATGCTATATTTATACTAAGGTCGCCGCTTTTTCTGGATGAAAGCAAATTCCAGGAAATATTTTTGTTTTCTTTGAATATTGTTCCAGGAAAATCGAAGACTTTCTTTCTTAATAGAAAGAATGAAATTTTAATAATCTATTGACATACTTTCCTTTGTTCTTTCCTACAATCTAATGCCGTCCACTGCTGGACAAAGGCCGTCCCCACCCCATGGATTTCCACAAGGACCGGTCCTGCGTTGCTCGCATCCAGGCGCTTCTCGCGACCGTCACCAGATCATCGGTCCACCGAGTGGCAGGAGGCTTCCCTACTAGTTTGATTGTGACTTATGCTTCAAAAGAGGCAAGAGAAACAGTTTCACCATGAATACGTTAGGTAACCGCCTCTGTGGTCTAGTGGTAAGACCACCTGCTTCAGACGCAGAGGTCCCGGGTTCGATTCCCAGTGGGGGCAGATTTTTCTGTTCGGTTTGGTTGGTGGTAGGGCTTGTTCTAAGTCCGCCTGGCTAGCTACCACCATCTTACCAAAGTCTGTCGCCATAACAACAATGTTAACAGCATTATTGTGTTCCGGCAGTTAGAGGTAAGATAGCCAGTTCCTCCGTGGTTGAGGATTCCGGGTGAAGCTCGCTTCCACCTTCGGCCTGATCATCACTTACCATCAGGTGAGATACAGGCCAAGAGCTTCCTCGTTGTGGATAAAAAAAAGGTAAAAGGTCGTAGCTGACAAAAACACACGTATTGTTATAGGGACTGAAAAAACCTATACGTACGAAAACTAAAAAAAGATATTACGTGCGCATATTATTTACATAATGTAAGTTAAGCAACGCATAATTTTTATTTTCCTATAACTTTATAAATTACTAAGTATATCTAAGTACTCACAAAACTAAAAAACATTAACCTAAAAGCAAAAAGGGCAAATAGCAGAAATATTTGCTCGCCCAGACAAACATCGCGTTTGTAACTATGAGAAAGCAATTTCCTTCCATTTTTCTTTTGCGTTTCGTTAATAGTTTTTTGTTTTTGTTGGTTACCTACATAAAGTCACCAAAGTCACGAAGTTTTTGTAATTCAAAAATGACATAATTTTTTAACGTGTTTTTATACTTTTTTTCAGGTCCCCAATGCAAAGATAGGTTTGCAGCACACATTGGGATTGGGTGGAGCTACGGTGGTGGGGTTATACAGAAAAGTAACGAAGAACAATGCCTCTTAAACTTAACCATTGGAAAGTTATAATGATAACTCGAAGTCAGCTAATACCATTGAATAAAGAGTAGCTGCAATGCCCCTAAAAAACTCCAGGAAAATGGCTATACATGGACGATACTCGAGATGAATACATTACATTCCCTCTAATATGGTCGAGTGAAGTGATGGCTGGTTCACTCGTCATGTCTGTGAACAGGCGCTGCTTTCGGGGACTGGTCAATCCAAGTTATTCAAATTTATTAATGCGAGTCATTTCTACTAGTATTTAAGTATTTATTCTGTAAGTCTAGATATTAGCACGTTACTACCTTGTTTAATATGCCACGCAATTTCGTATACCCATTCTTATAACATACACCATACAAGAATGCGTGGTAAATTCAGTGAACTGCTCCTGAATCAAATATACCTACTACTGCTTTTTCTGTTTATTTATATTAACCGGCAGACAGTGGTGACTGAGTTTGTTGCGGCGCTTCTTCTCAGCACTTGCCAAATGTTGGTCTCGAAACGCTGGTAGGGTAAAAAAATTATGAGACATTTTGCTCCTTAAGAGCAAAATGACGATTTGTAAGAACTATTTATTAGTCTAAACAAATAAAGAAATTTTGACTTTGACTTTGAATATTATCATTCTAGTGGACTCTTGAATCTAAATACAATCATCATAAACATCGTTTCTGCCAAAGTTTTCCGCTGCCTCTATCCAGGCGTTTCCTGCGTTCTTTTCCAGATCCTCTCACGAGTGAAAAACCTGTCCACCTTGCCTTTTTTATCGAGCCACACGAGAACTTGTCCACTCCAACGGTATTTTTTTAAATGGTTCCTGTATTCCAGCATCAATTCTTAACCAAGACATAGTAATTACAGGATGTTTTGAAGTATTAATTTACAATTTACCTTTGGATATCGACCTCCTATAGTCAGACTTACTGTCATTAAAATTATCACAAAATTCACAAACATAACTAAAGAATAAAGAAACTAACTACTGAGTTTGTCACACTACCGTAACTAATGTTTTATCGAGTCGAAGATATGCCAATTTCGAAGACAATAGTATGGTGAAATTTAAATTAACGACGTATTTGTTACGGACTTCTTGTTTTCAGTTATTGTGTGACTGAAAACGTAGTATTTGAACAAACTATTTATTGGACAATTGACTCTAATAAACCATCATCATCAGCATCATCAATAATTTCAGCCACAGGATGTCCACTGCTGAACATAGGCCTCCCCAATAATTTCCATATCGATCCATTGGTAGCCTGCATCCAGCGCCTTCCTGATAGTCTCTCACATAGCCCGGCGGATTAGCAAGCTGAAGTGGCAATGGGCAGGTCACATAGGACGCAGAACTGACGGCCGATGGGGCAACAAGGTTCTGGAGTGGAGGCCATGTACCGAAAAACGCAGCGAAGGATATTGTACACCCACAAAATGGAACTTAAAAAAATTTATGAAGAAATGCATTTAAGAAGAAATTAATAAATTGGTTACTGAGCCATGGTTTTTATAGCATTGACGAATATGTTTGAATTTTATTGTGACATCTACATTTACCTTTTGACATTGTAAATTTATAAGCCGAAATAATTTAATACATTGATTTAATTTATGACATTGTATGTTTAGTAATAATCTGACTGATAAAATATTTGTACGTCTGCTTGCAGGCTAAATACATGGGAATAATTTAATAGCTGAAAGATCTGTTTTGTAAAACGAGCATGTGATTATAATTATGTTTTCTAGCAAATATTTCTAGCATCTAAATTATTGAATTTGAATTCGTTCGTTTCAGCCAAATGACGTCCACTGCTGGACAAAGGCCTTCTCCAAGGTTTTCCACAATGCATGGTCCTGCGCTGCCCGCATCCAGGCTCTTCCCGCGACCTTTACGAGATCGTCGGTCCACCTAGTAGGAGGCCTGCCCACGCTACGTCTTCCAGCCCGTGGTCGCCACTCGAGAACTTTTCTGCCCCAACGGCCATCGTCTCTACGAGCTATGTGCCCCGCCCAATTGGAATTTGAATTAAATGATGATAAAAGAAGAATTTATAAGGCTATAAAGTGAATCTTTGTATTCCAGTCGAGAATTCAGGCAGACATTTCCAGAATTACCTGCGTTCCAAGATGTAATGTGAAGTCATAAAGTTAGGCTGAATGTGTTTTATACGAGAAAGTAGGTATGAAGTCATTGAACTCAAGAGAAGGTGTCGTTTGGTGTAGTGGTTCGAAACGGACTACTATTCCGGGAGTAGCGGGTTCGATTCCCGCACAGTACAAACATTTAATTTTGTGTGCATAAACATATTTGTTTGTATTGGACTGGGTTTGTATTCTATGTATAATAAGTATGTATTTACAAAAAAAAAGTATTTAAGCATGTTTATATCCGTTGTCTAGTACCCATAGTACAAGCTTTGCTTAGTTTGGGACTAGAAGCGTAGTGTAAAATTTAGTACCTACCTAATTAAATTATCTGTTACTTGACCAGAAGTATTATAAATGCAGATTTGATTGGAGGATTTGATGAGTGCTTGTGCTTGTGGCGGAGTTTTGGGCAGATACTGTATAGGTTTGTTGTCGACACGAAAAGAAGAAAAGGAATGAAGATTTTAGTCTAAACTCTCCACGTCAGCCAGACGGGCTGATACAAAATGTATTGATTTGTCCCACATATTTCCAATGTTCAATTGAAAAAACAATATCCGGTCGCACCCGCTAAGGTCGGCGCTATCGATGTGACGTCACACCCGTGCGCATTTATTTTTTTAATAAAAGAGAATGAAGTTCATTCCGTAATGTAGGTTTCTACAGTTTGTTTAAAAGAAAAGTTCTCGAATAGCGACCATGGGGCTGAAGACATAGTGAGGGCAGGCCTCCCTCTAGGTGGACTGACGATCTGGTGAAGATCGCGGGAAGTATTTGGATAAAGGCAGCGCATGACCGGTCTTTGTGGAAATCCTTGGGAGGAGGCCTTTGTCCAGAATTGAACGTCATTTGGCTGAAACGAACGACCATTATTGTTCGAAACATTATCTTTATTTTTCACTCCAACCTAAAAGAAGCAATAAAAGCTTTGAAGTGACTTGCGTGACGTCACATCCGTCGGCCATTTTGTAGTCATTAAAGGAGGGTCGTTACAAAAGCCGTAAACGTTATGCTTCTGTAAAACCTAGTTTGTGTTTCGCGAAAGAGTGGGTTTATGTTTTTGAAACGAGGTAGAACTGGGTAAAGGTCATAGCAGATTTCTTTTGCTTGTCGTGTCGATAACAAACCTACACAGCGTCAGCCCAAAACTCCGCTACAAGAATGGCGTTGTGTCAGTAGCCTTCATTCAATCTTCCTGCGTGCAGTTTTTTTGGGCACGCAGGGCACGACAGTCGACATCATTTGCTTCGTCGACTGGGGAACAAAACCACACTTACTTACTAAAGCCTGGTCCGTGAGCACGTAGAATCCCGTCCAATGTGCTCACGGACCAGGCTTTACCTATATAGCAGACTTATCAACTCGGAAAGGAATCAACACCGTATCGCCTTTCGCGAGCTGTCAACCGCGAGGCGAGGCGTTTACATTACGGTGCGGATAAGTGTGCGTTGCAGTATGGAGTTTCATACAAAAAATACTGACCGCCTCGAGTTGATACGGTTACATCCCTTTCCGGGTTGATAAGTGTGCGACGTGCTTAAGCCTTAGAATTTTCCGTCTCCATCTTTACAACTTGTTTAATATCTTTTTTAGCAGCTCATTCTAGAGATCATCGCCTGTAAACTGTGTTTTAAGAATAAATTAGTGAGAGGAATATCTCAACAAGCCTGAAATATTCTCAAATGATGCATAATAAATCCTGAAACGATGCCCAAAGCATAATACCTTTAATGGCTTCATTGGTTGCCCATTAAGACTCTCCTAGGTTTTCGACTTCGACGGGGTTGTGCTTAAAGTGGATAAATCGAAAGGTTTACTTATAAACGCAGTGGAGTGGTAAAATCAGCAATTCATTTCATTTCCGCTCATTACACAAATTCATTTCAAATATAGCTATCAAAGCTCTCTATCATAGCATGTGATAGTGAATTAAATGTAAAAAAAATCCTTCAGTTTTTATCACTTCTATCAATAGACACGCACATTCCAAATTGCTATGGTAATGAAAAATAGAGGTTTTATGTAGGTATACTTATAGTACAGAATATTGCAGACAGCACATCAACTTTGTGGTATTTAATGAGCTAAGTAAGTATTTTGCACTATGGGAACTATCCCGGAACCTCTACTTCTTAAGCAAACAGTCTTACCCCTAGACCACAGAAGTGGTTAAACTCGCTGTTTATTCGTAGCTAAGGGCTCCGGGCATTTCCCATTTCTAAGTTTTTTGAACAACTTTTTAAGCCTAGGTTTTCAGCAAAATTGTTTTTTGGATTCTAATGGTAAAATATTTTTTCAAAACCGCTGCTGCGCCGACAAGCGTAGCGCTAGAGTAAATTCGTGCCGACGATAGAATTTAAAGAATGCTAATCTAAAAACTCACTGCGAATTTAGTTGCGATGTCTAGATGAAGGTTTTATAACTAGAATCGCACTACTGTAGTTTCGAAGCCTATTCCCTCCAAACAAACAAATCTGTCCTCTTTATAATATTAATAACAAAACACCAGTTTTATAAAACTCCAAGAAACCCCTTCCAATCGAACTGCCAACCACAAAGCCATCCATGTGCCGGTAATCCCGGGAAGTTCCGCGAGGTGTGCTAATCCCGTGCATAGTGCCGGGATCATGCGCGGGATTTCCTTGCACTTAGGAGTTTTGCGATAACGTGTTAAAAGTGTCGTATCTTCAGAGCGAGGTAAGTCGACTGCATGCATAACTTGATGGAGTAAAGGACTACATGCAGCAGTTCAGGGTGGAAAGTAGAATCCAATTATGTAAAGGAGTCAACCACAGAATGTATACCTTTCTCTTGTTCATGCTCATAGGAGTTTTAACTTCGAAGTCCTAGTTATGTTCTTGATTAATTTCGTTGCGGGTCCAATGACAGTTTAACTTTCCCCCGGGACAAAGTTGACCTTCACTGGTTGGGTTTTTATTGGCGATCAAGCTGTAGATCCTGGCTACACAGGAGTTGCAGCGGAGGGAACGAGAGCTGGGAATAGTCCCGTTTCTCAAAGGAGCACTTTCATCCAGTAGAATGATTAATACCTACTGCCAGTCATATTGGAGTCGTCAGTCCATCGAGCAAAGGGGCATCACTACGTATGAGGAGAGGATCAATATGGACCAGTCAGATGACAATCTATGATTGACTGACCTGATTTGAATATATCAATCAATTGGTGAACAACCAACTATGTAGTTACTTAATTCTACACTCTCTAGTATGTATTAATTAGCTAGTTAATAGGTATGCACACAACTTCTAAACTTATAGTTCTTTGACTTTTTATTACAACTAGTAAATAAGAAACAATAACTTATAAACAAAATGTATCACATAGGTAACTCCATATTTTATCTCGAGTAATACTTACTATAAAACTTCTACTTTAAAACCGCAGACTGTCTTGAAACTAGCACATCAAAATAGTCCTTATTGGTAGTTATTACAGTTACTTTTGCCTATTCCGAGAAATGCAAATGGCCGCTGAAATTACCTACACACGACAGTGTGCTTGCATAAAGTTGTTAAGTTGGGAACTACACCTGTTATCGTTGTTTCTAAAGTCTAGACTCAAATCCAGACTTCTGTGTACTACTAGAAATACCTAGGTAACTAGGCAGTACCAACTTACTGAACTTAAATATTGCTCACTTCGTTATCCGCACAGCTTTGACCAAAACTTTGTTGTTTTTAATACTAGGCGATTATTATTATATATATATGATATATGATATTATATATGATAGTTATTGGCTTTATTAATTTTACCTGTGTCTTTCGCTCTTTAAAATTAATGTCAACCACCTATTCTATAATACGAGACTGGGCAATTTTTCCACGTTAAAGAGTTGAAAGTTAAATGGATAGACAACATAGAGTGAATAGAAAACAAAGTAGGACCTACCTAAATAAAAAAGTCAACCAAATTGAACGTTTTAAGGAGTCGTTAAGTCGAGTTATGTTAAATGTAGAGCTATAATTTATTATATTTTTTATATTTATCTAGCTTCTTTCTTTAAAATTATGAAACCATAATTATGTTAGAAATTTCTTACTCTTAAAATACATCAGAGGCTGGATTTTTCCCTGCTTCATTAAAATGACGCGGTGCTATCCGTTATTTATCTAAGCAAATAGTTCTCAAATAGGATTTTAATCTACCCCCAACCGAAATGTATTAGTTGAATTAATATTTTTTGTGAGTTTACATCTGATACACTCGTGTAGATAGATGAAGGTGAAGTCTTCAAATGTTATTGATATCCAAAGCTTTGTATCCAAAACACGTCCACAGCTGGGCAAAGGCCTTCCCCAAGGATTTCCCAACGAACGGTCCAGGTGATCCCGCGATCGTCTGACCACCGAGTGGGAACTAGGCCTGACCACATCACAGTACCGCAGTAAGTTAAAAATGTACATATTGGAAGGCGCTGGATGCAGGCCGCTACCAACCGTGCGATGTGGAAATCATTGGGCGAGGCCTATGTTCAGCAGTGGACGTCCTGTGACTAAAATTATGATGAAGATGCTATTGGAAGCAAAACTAATATTACAAATGTCAATATCACTAGCTGGATAAAATTTTGGGGGCAAAACTGCCTACAGCTCTATAAAATTGGGCTTTTCTGTAGTTTGAGAACCACTGGCCCTACACAAAGAATGTCTCAACATACAACTATAGGTAGGTGAATACTGGCATCCCTGGAATTATAGCCGTGTCTCTCTGGAATTTTTATTGCCAATATTGTACCAATAGAAGCGGCGGCATGCGAAACGCCAAGAACATTGCTATTTAAAACAAAGACGTAAATTCTTGGGGAAATCAGGCTATGCCTGACCAGTGTCCAATAATGTAGCCTATTATAATAGCTTCTTGATTTGGTAGAGTAATTCTTGAGCTTAAATAACAAAGACTTTAGAAGACACTAATTGTGAAAAGTAGCATAGATATTATGGATAACCTGAAAAAAATTGTTAGTGCCTAAGGTAAGTGCCCCCTACTTCGGTATATTAAGGCTCTTACGACTTTAACATTTTATTTAAAAATAACCAAGCATGATGTCAGTATGAAAGCTTTTGTATGCCAAACTTTGGTCTTTTGACAGTAAGTTAATACATAATTTATAGTTATATAGTTTGAACTTTTTTTTTTATTAATTATTCTGCGGACCTNCCTGACCAGTGTCCAATAATGTAGCCTATTATAATGTATGTAGCTTATTGATTTGGTAGAGTAATTCTTGAGCTTAAATAACAAAGACTTTCGAAGACACTAATTTGTGAAAAGTAGCATAGATAATTATTATGGATAACCTGAAAAAAATTGTTAGTGCCTACTTATGTAAGCTTTGGTACATACCTATAGTTCGTTGGTTTCAGGCAAATGACGTCCACAGCTGAACGAAGACCTTCCCCAAGTAACTATAGTATCTGATGGAAATACCTATTGATACCTATCTCTATTATTTTCTAAAGCTTAAATATCTAAGCGTGGACGAGAAATCTCTTAAACTGGTCTTAACTTAAGTATCCATCACAAAAATTAAAAAGATAAGTTTAGGAAAAATCTACCTACTTAACTACCTACATCTGTGTAAGGCAGATTTAACTTTGTGTTAGGAGGACAATAGTCTTAGTGTGGAGTGTAGTGAGGACATAGGACAAAGTGAAATTCATACGACTTACTTAACCTTTAACACGAAATTATGAAGGTTTTGAAACAGCGATGCAGTTGTGACTTCAGGTGGGCAGCTGTGCGTGACGCGAGCTTTTGCCTTTGTGTTTGCTGTAATTAGGGTGGGGTTGTAACCCCAGAGGTACGAAAGTATCCGAAAGAAAAACGTATGATATTTGGATTTATGAAAACAAGTTTCACCCGTTTCAATTATGGTCCGACAGAAAGTTTTCGACAGTAGAGTCTGATCGATCAGTCATCATCGTCGATTTTGGGTAATCTGTAAGCAATCACAAATTGAATATGACATTACAATATTTATTTCTTAATCTATTTTTTTAATTTAACAGCTCTAAGGCTCAAGTACGTACTGGCAGGCATTTTTTTCGGATAACATCCTTCCCATCGGACATATTCACATCGGATACAATACCTACACCACTATGCCCGACCACTCGCGGCAAGGTAAAACACAGGAAGGGCTACAAAGGCGAAACGGTGGTTCATGTACAACTGCACATCAAACTACACACTACATTGTTAAGCAGTTGTGATAAAAGCTATATTGCAACAAAATTGTTATCACGGTTTGCTGTCAACTGTATAGGTAACGTCGTACGTCACAGTGACGCATCGTTGGACAAAAAACCTTTGTAGTATGTACCTCTTCTACAAGTTAATTACTGCCGTTTGGAAGGAAAACTGGAAAAGAAGTGTGAAATTTTTAGGGCGCTTTTAATTTATTTTTGTAGCCCTGAAAAATCAGTGTTTTCAATTTGCTATAAAATTCGCTTTCGTAGCTTTGTATCAAAGATGTGTTATATCAAAAGTTTGTGAATTAAGTTCGCATACCAGTAACTATTAACCAAAGTGACCGACATAGCTCGCAGAATTGCTAAAATCAAGTGGCACTGGGCACATAGCTCGTAGAGACGATGGCCGTTGGCGCAGAAAAGTTCTCTAGTGGCGACTGCGGGCCGGAAGACATAGCGTGGGCAGGCCTCCCACTAGGTGGACCAACGATCTGGTGAAGGACGCGGGAAGAGCCTAGATGCGGGTAGCGCTGGACCGGTCGTTATGGAAATTCTTGGGGGAGGCTTTTATCCAGCCGTGAACGTCATTTGGCTGAAACGAACGAAGGAGCGAACGATAGGCAGTGTCTACACTACATCAGTCAGGTCTCTTCCTGGCCCTTCTGTTCTGGATAAGATGGCCTAAAAAAGTTCTAAACATAAGTAAGTAAGTACCCGGTCCAGGAATAGATCCTGGGAAATCTCGTGAACTAAGTACTAACATGACATGGACTGACACCACGTTTTAATTTCAATCACAAAACGTAACTATTATTAATGCAAAATTAACTACAAGTTTTCTTCTACAGTAAAGTTTCAAATTAGAACTTAAGTGGTTTTAAAACTGAGCCGTCAATATTATTTTCATTACGAANTAACGAGTATTAAACAGGCCCGAATTTCTGTAGCGAACTACTAAGTAACTAAAGTATTAATTAGTAGTTAATGTTCCCAAAACTTTGAAGCTGCATTAACAAGGACTTGGGAAACTAAGGAACACCATGCAAAATTGTGTCCATAATCGTCTTTAAAACTTTAACGAGCTTCAAATATTGTGCTATTTAGTTGGTTTGATAATAAAATAAATAGTAAATACTTATTTATGTCAAGGACTAACCTACATCTTTTGTCTTTATTTAGGTAATTGGATCAATAAGTATTGCAATTATTTCATTCGTGTGTGTGTCTTTATTTATTTATCATTTATTTGCATAATATAATATTTTATACCTACAACATTTTTATTCAAAAAAAGCTGTGAGCATAATACGTAATTTTTATTTCATTTGGTAGGAAAAAAGCAATGAAAGTAATCTTGTAATTTCTGCCATCTAGTGAGCAGTGCAGAAATGTTTTGCCATGCTGCTTTGTGACGAACGCTAAAATTAGCAAGATCTTGTAGTTTTGCGCAAGATTTAACAGATGTCGCTACTTGTACTGAACGTAAACGTAACATTTATCAACTTGGAAAAAACTATTTGGTTTAAAAAAAAGCCCTTACTTTTAAATATAGCTTTATTAATTAATCTCACACAAGATACATTAAAAACTTCGGAATTACATTTAGAGGACAACTTACAGCAAACCATTCCTAATATCACAAAATGAACACATCAGTCTAAAAGGAAGATTAGGTACGTAAACAGGATAAGAAAAAATATTCTTTTACAGTAATACAACCCAATTATGAAGTATTAAAGATATTTTGACTTAAAATTAAAGATAAGTGATAATCAAAGACTTTAATAATACAAATTAGGTACAAGTTTAACGAACTATTTGTATATCACAGAAGGAAATAGGCTAATTATTATCAATAATTCTATCTTCAGTAAACTGAGATGAGATCCAAGTGAGAGCCCACTTTAGGTTGGTCAGCATATACTTCAGGGCTTTAGTCCAGTGTTCTTCGGAATTGAATTGGATTTTAATGGAATACGCATGAGGGGGGGACGCTGTGTCCTCAATTTTTCCCTTATCAATCCTGTACGGCAAGCAAAAACCAGTATTTCCCATCTCCACTTGCTCCTTAAACTGCTGGAGACAATCCAAAAATGCTACCATTGCTGCATCAAACTTCGTGTCCCAGAGGAAGCGGAAACCACCGGAACCATACAACGGTAAGACTTTCTGGTCTTCTAAAACCTCTATGTATGAATGATTGCCGTACGGCACTAAGCGATATCTCTGGAATGCAAAATTAATTTTCCGTGCCAACGAGGACAGAAGCAGAACGGTTTGACCCCAGGCCGCATTTATTTCAGACCAATCAACTGGAGCGGTCGGCAATCGGCCTAGTCTGAAGTTGTTTATGATTCCGAACTGCCCTGAATCTGATATATGGAAAGTGGCTTTGAAAACGTTCATTTTCTTCAGCTTCTCCAACTGTGACTGTGTATATGCAAGTTGGCAATCGTAGAATTTCATTTGATCCTCCGTTGTCATCAAATCTTTGCGATGGCGTGTGTACTCTCTCCAATATATATCTTGCTCTTTCTCCAGCCTATCCTTCTCTCTTTCTTGCACCTCTATCTCCTCCTTCATAGCTCTTTCTTCCTTTTGCAAAGAAGACAACTCTTGGAGCAACCTCGTTTGTTCTTGTTTCCAATCATCTAACTCCTTTTCCAGGCCTTCCAAATTCAAATCCTCCTTATCATCTTCCAGCTTTTTTAAATAGTCATTGTAGTCCTTCCATTCAGCCTCAGTCTGCCGCAACTGATTATCCATCAGTTCCAATAACGTATCTGTGCACTCATCACACAAAGGATGGTCGACATCAGAATTATTTGACAGTAAGTCGAAGAGAGTGGCTTTAACATGCAGCTGGTGACCTAAAGATGTAGTTTCCCATCCGTCAGAGATGACCATAAACCCGTTCGCTCCATTACCTGACTCTGACATTCGGAATGGAGGCACGTAGTGCTCCAAACTCGACGACTGCAAATCCAAATCTGCTTCATTATTCCGCCGAATCTGGAGGGTCAGGTCCGCTATAGTGTGCTCGCCTAAGTTGTTGAGGGACTCGTCCAACTTCAGAGGCTGGAGACACCTCTGGCAGGAAAAACTGATGAAGGATTTCGAATCAGTCATGTTGATTGTGAAACACCCTCCGTAGTTACGTCATTTACCACGATCCCTCGCACTAATTTTATATTCCACTAGTTTAATGCTCGAAATATAATACTGATGTGTAAGCACTTATTTAATTATAATTATTAACACGTAGATAACAGTAAAAATAAAATAACAAACAAAGAGCAGAAGTTCAGTACGACGACGCAATATTTTTTTTTTTGTGAGATCTGTCAGTGTCAAGTTGTGTCAAACATAAAATTAGGGTTGCCTTGCCAGGCGTAAATCAAAAATTGTACTAATAAACGCCACCATTGCATTGCCTTGTTGCCTAAAAGTTTGGGCAAATCTATATCTCAAGTCTTTTTAGTATACTAAATTGAGATAAGCATACGAGAGTATTATGTAAAGAAAAAATTAAAACTAGAGTTCATTTAAACATTGATTTAAAAAGGAAAAATCATTTTGTTTGTTTTCTAAGTGCACTCAAAAATAGGTATGTAGTAGAGATGTAACGGATAGTTGTTAGGCCGGATACCGGATACCGGATATCCGGCCAGCTGCTAGGCCGGATAGCCGGATATCCGGCGGCCGGATAGTTGGCCAATTGTCTCGTTGCATGTCGTGACGAGTTTAGTGCCGCACAGGTGCTTCGAAAACGATCAGTGGGTCTATTAGTAGACTAGACTAGTCACACTTTTCGAAAATCGAATCCGTCCGAATAGAATGTCAGATTTTGCCACTTGTCTAGGGGCCTAGGGGGTAGATCAATTCGGGCGATTTCGGTTGCGATCGTGATTGTGTGATTGAATAGCGAAAATTAAATTAGTTTACTTGCTGCGTAATCTGACTGAACTGCATCATATCATCAGTGGAAAAAAGAACGCTTATTTTATTTAGCAGTATTTATGTATTCGTCATTAGAGTGAATAGCCCAGAAAAAGAAATTAGTTTTTTGAAAGGCTTAATATGGCTTTTTTGTAACTTTTTGGACTTTAAATAAAAGCCGTCATTATTATAAGCCATTTTATTGACATTTACCTCAAAGATTAATGCATTTCATTTTATTAGTAGGAAATTGTCGTAGTTTTTTAATATCCGGTATCCGGCCGGATAGTAAGTTACTATCCGGTTCGTTCGTTTCAGCCGAAAGACGTCCACTGCTGGACAAAGGCCTCCCCCAAGGATTTCCACAAAGACCGGTCCTGCGCCGCTTGCATCCAGGTACTTCCCGCGACCTTCACCAGACCGTCGGTCCACCTAGTGGGAGGCCTGCCCACGCTACGTCTTCCAGCTCGTGGTCGCCACTCAAGAACTTTTCTGCCCCAGCGGCCATCATCTCTTCGAGCTATGTGCCCCGCCCACTGCCACTTGATTTTAGCGATTCTGCGGGCTATGTCAGTCACTCTGGTTCTCCTACGGATCTCCTCATTTCTGATTCGATCACGCTGGGAAACTCCGAGCGTAGCCCGCTCCATCGCTCTTTGGGTGACCTTGAGCCTTCTTATGAGGCCCATAGTAAGCGACCACGTCGTCGATCAATTAATCTAAATTACTTTCGCATTATTATTTTGTAACAAATAGGGCAACAGAGTTAGTAGTAAAGCCCGGGTTTCACCAAGGCGGAGCGGAGCGGAGAAATCGTATAATCAATCAGATTGAATGAACTTGACAGAATGAAATCTGATTGGTTATTTAAAACATTTCACCATTCCGTCTCAGTGGAAACCGAGGCTTAAAAGGATACTAATTTTTGCTCCCAGTTATTTTAATACGATTTATTATCTCCCGTGAATACAAATGGGATCAAAGCATTTTAACATCATATCGTCAGTATAAAACATTGACTAAATTCAATACAAATCACAAAGCAAAAGCTATGCTTTTATTCGTAATGCAACGTGACGTTAGGTGTGCGCGGCGGCGCGCTCCTCGAGCAGCAGCTTGGCGAGCGCGTGGCGGTCGCCCAGCTCCAGCTGCGCGAAGCCGGACGCGCTCTGAGCACGCAGGCACGCCTCCGTGTCGGCGCCGGACGGCCCGGACGCGGCCCCGGACGGCCCGGACATGCGGCAGGGCGGCGGGCGGGGCGCGAGCACGAGCGCAGGGTCGGGCGCGCGCAGGCAGCGCAGCTCGGCGCCCGCCAGCACCTCCACCACCGGTGCTTCCGAGCTGCCCGACCACGCCGCCAGGGCTGCGAATAATAACTTACATTAAAGCATTGTTNGGTATGTAGTTTGAAGGGTATGATTAGATTTTAAAATTCATTCAATCTAGATAGCTATCTGCGAGTACTCGTAATGCTTGATATTGAATCAAGTTTTGTGAGTAGGTATCATTTTAGAAAAAAACACTTTTTTGTACTATTTATCCTATCTATTTAAAAGAAAATAAAAGTAACGATGTATTCTTAAAGAATTTTATTTAATTTGTAGACTAGAATACAATGATTAAACTGAAACAGCACCTTAATTTATATTTACATGGTTTGAAAGCCTATATTTATTACAGTCTCTGTTTAAAATACTATAGTAACTCTGGTTCATAAGTTACTGAGTCATAATAACTAATGTTGAGTAGTCCTTAAAATAGTTATAAGCATCTAGCCTACTCAAAGAATAATAGTCTGTATTAAAACAATATTATAAACGAATCTACCATCAAATAGGAACAATAGTTAACACAACGCTTGACATAAGTAACTAAAAAGTTTACTGTCTACTACTTATTTTAATTACAATTATTAGCAGGAATCATTAAGAGGAAAAGTAACAAATAATTATTGTTTATATGATCACAATAATCTAAGTTTCGTCATAAAAATGATAGAATATTATATTTATAGTGTGTGTGGCAATCTATAGCGACAATACAAAAATCTTGGGGGAAATAAGTATTATAGAAAATACTTTAAAATCCAATGTCTGAAGGGCAAAACTTTTAAATCCTACATTAAGCTCAGATACTGAAAAAGAGGCTATTTTTATGAGGTAAATAAAGCCATGAGCTTAAATTTTATGTTCATATTTTAAAAAGAATCTCGAATAAAATATTTAGGTACCTTAAAATATAAAATCACAAATTTGTAACTATTTACGTATTAATTTTATGGCAACACTTATTTAAGGGGTGTTTCCGTGCAGGTAATGGTTTGGATTCTGGAGCTGGTGGTAGTAGGCGTTTGGTATCAATGCTTGGGCCAGGCTTCCTTGAGGGCCTGCATACTGGGCAGGTACGAGCATTTCTCTGTAAAGAAAGAAAAAATATTACGTCTTTAGTACCTGATTTTATGTGATGGGCAGACGACATCGTAAAGGTAGCAGAAAGGCGTTGGACGCAGGCCGCTAATATCTATCAACCGGGCAGCATAGAAAGCATTCGGGGCTATGTTTAGCAATGGACGTCCACCTATGAACACGCAGAAATGTTTGTCCCGATTGGGGATCGAACCCGGGATATTTGGATCTGAAGCAGGTAGTCTTATGACTTATGACAATGTCATCTTTTAGATAAGGCTCTGCTTTGTTAGAACATTTTAAAAAGTGCAAAATATTCCAAACAATTTAAGAAATCCTAAAGTCCTTCATGAAATTGGACCCGAAAGTCGTTGCATTAAAAATCGTGGACTCAAAATGGCACCCATTGTTTTCGAAATTTGAAATTGGCACGTTCCGAGGTTCCGAGCTACAGCCGTAACGGAATGTCGTTAATGTCGAAGAAAAAGTCCCGGTTTTTTGCGAGATTCGGCGATGCAAATCGTCGTTTAAACCAATTTTTCTTAATTAAAAATATTTGATTTGATTTATAACTGGTGACGATAGCCCAGCGGTGTCAGTCTGAGTGTCGATTGGATGGTCACTAATTCGAGTCGACACCAAATGAGCCGGAAGACGTAGCGTGGGCATGCCTCCCACTAGGTGGACCGACGATCTAGTGAAGTGTCGCGGGAGGCGCCTGGATGCGAGCGGTGCAGGACTGGTCTTTGTGAAAATCCTTGGAAGAGGCCTATGTCCAGCAGTGGACGTCTTTCGGCTGAAACGAACGAACGAACGACACCACAACAGTCCAACGACTATTGTAGTGCACCTACCCCTAACACAATAACATACACCTAGGTGTGTTTTTTTTAATTACCCTACATGCTATAATTCTTAGTTAGAAGGCAACAGGAATAAGTAGGTCATAATCGTAGTGCATTAAGATAGTTGTACTTATGGATTAGTTGCTCGCGTACCTACCTATTGTTTAAAGCGGTGCACTGGTGTGTCAGTAAGGTCGGATCCTGCATGGGACGAATATTATGGATTTAAAAAAATACCATTAGATTTTTCAACGACATAAACCCAAAAGTAATTTAAAAGCATCATAAATCACTACTTTACTGACAAGCCCGGTAGCATGTTACGCACATGTTTGAGCCCCGGCTTCGTCTATTGTCTTTGGCCTTTTGTTACCAAAAGACATTATGCTCAGCAATTATTAAAACCTGGCAAAAAACAGTAGCACATGGTTCAATGGGCGGGCATTTTGGCTAATTTCTTAAACTATTCACATTCACCAGAAATAATGCAGGATTAGTGGTGAAAGAATTTTTAAAATCTGTCCAGAAGTTTCAGAGCCTATTAGCTTTCGTGTAACCACTATTAGTTAGGTAATAACTAATTAATATAATTATTTTTATTTGTGAGAATCGTAGTTAAGTAACCTAAGTAATTTCTGAGCAAAAAAGCGCGTAGTTTATTAATTGACAATTTATTATTAAACCACTTGTAAATTTCAGCTACGGCGTTATTAATTCTTACAGTTCAACTTCAAAACAAAACATCAAAAAGTTGTGTCTGTAGCCGCATTGTTTTAAAATTATGGGCGACCTGTCTCAAGGTTAACTTTTGTTTGTATCCATAAGTACCTTCTTGTGGTGTTGATTTCAGTCTTGATAACGAAGAATTTTTTTCAGACCAGCCAAACGGCGCGCGAGTCTTTCGGAAAAGTATTCATCGCTCATCAAGAACAACGTCGTACGTAAGTCTTTCTTTTCATCTATCTTATCTTGTTCGAAACTAAATATTTTCGCGAGAGCCATAAAGAAGAAAAAACATAAGCATTTCTTGAGGGGAAACTGAAGCGTCAAGTTTAGCAGTCTGTTTTATTTTCGAAAAAAAAATGTGTTCATCCAAATCAAAGTGAATCAATGTTAGATAATTTAACCACTATGTTCGTAACTGT